AGTACCTAAAAAGAAAGGTTCAAAATCAGGGTTCTGAGGATGTTCCGGAAATCTCTGTAAGTGAAATTTACAATGCTCTGAAAACGATGAAGAACAATAAAGCTCCGGGGGATGATGGTGTCGTCACAGAAGCGATAAAGATGGGAGGAACCGTACTAATGACCAATATTCAACGGCTGTTCAATCTCTGTCTGGAAAATCAAAATATCCCTACAAAGTGGAATAACTCAATAATTATCCTCTCACATAAAAAAGGAGACATAGCAGACCTGGAAAATTAAAGACCAATTAGCCTTCTTAACCATCTTTATAAACTATATACCTGAATTATAACAAATAGACTAGAGGCAAAATTGGACTTCTACCAACCTAAAGAGCAAGCTGGTTTCCGTTCCGAATTTGGTACCAACGATCATCTGCAGTCTTTAAAAACCTTAATAGAAAAAACCATCGAATACAATCGTCCCCTAGCACTGATATTTGTCGATTTTAAAAAAGCGTTCGATACGGTAGAATTACCGGCCATCCTAACAGCGTTACAAGAATGTAGAATCGACCATCGATATTGTAACATAATAAAAAACATATATTATGACAATGCTACAACAACTGTAAATTTATATTCCATAACTAACCAGATAAAAATAAAAAGGGGAGTTAGGCAGGGCGATACCATGTCGCCAAAATTGTTTATTACTGTTCTTGAGCATGCATTCAAAATGCTGGCTTGGCAACAAAAAGGAATAGTTATCGATGGAGAGAGACTCAACCACCTACGCTTTGCGGATGATATCGTTATAGTGTCAGATAGTCCGGGAGAGATCAAAGACATGCTTCAAGAACTTAACGATGCATTACACGAGATTGGACTAACAATAAATTTTGACAAGACTAAGATAATGACTAATATGGTGCCCAGCGAACACATACAAATTCACAACAACAGAATAGAATTAGTCCACAAATATGTATACTTGGGCCATGAGATCAAAATAAGCAGAGATAACCATACCTGTGAACTGGCTAGACGAATTACCTTGGGATGGGCGGCTTACGGAAAAATGAGGGACATATTTAGAGCAAATATCCCAATACACCTGAAAAGGAAGGCATTTCACCAATGTATCCTCCCGGTTTTGACCTATGGCGCAGAGACGTACGGGAGTGGATGACATTATCCAGCGAATCACAAAACAAAAGTGGAGATGGGCTGGACACATTGCTAGAATGGCAGACGGGAGATGGACCAAAAGACTTATAGAGTGGAGACCAAGAGCCGACAACCGTAGCCAAGGCAGACCTCCCACCCGATGGACCGACGACCTGAAACGAATAACAACTAACTGGATTGCAACTGCTAGAATGGCAGACGGGAGATGGACCAAAAGACTTATAGAGTGGAGACCAAGAGCCGACAACCGTAGCCAAGGCAGACCTCCCACCCGATGGACCGACGACCTGAAACGAATAACAACTAACTGGATTGCAACAGCTAAAAACCGCGAGAACTGGAGACGTTTGGAGGAGGCCTATGTTCAACTATGGACGTGAAAGGGGGCTGCGTGATGATGATGATGATGACTTTTACTTCCTAAAAATCTAATAAGTCTCATTTTGCTAGAATTAACCTCGGCTTGATGAAAAGCTTTAACGCGATGGAAAGCTTTCAGATATTTTTCAAATGTTTAATAGTTATTGAAATTCGGATATATGAATTATATAAAAAATATAAATAGGAAAAGAAAATGCAAAGATAGCAATTAGAGGAATGGATAAAACGAATTTAAAATAAGACAGGTTATTCTGAAGAGCGAGAAAGTAGTATATTGAATACAACCTAATATCTACTAGACTCTACTTAGAACATTACATCTTTAGAACAACCAGTTGCAACAATAAACACTGTAAATATTTATTTGTATAAATGTTCTGTAATATTTACTGTCCTTAAGGTTTTGATTCAAAACCAAACAAAAAAAGTAATTAACATTGATTTTATTATAAATGTAACTATTTATATAACTAAAAATTAAAAGAGCTCCCAAAATGAAATTATATATGAAGCCTGGATAATATCAAAGCAAGTAATTTTGTAACTGTTACTTTGCTGTTACCCAATAATGTCGGCAACGTCGGCCTTGAATAGACGAAACCTTGAATCAGCGAATCTATATTTCACAAATATGAAATCGAGGGCGCGATTTTTAAATTCATTATTGCCAACCATGGACATATTCGGCGCCGTGCTGACTAACTGGAATTTAAATTTCGCGCTTGGGATTCAGGTGGTAGCTCTGCTGTAAAAAATGTCACGTTGTCGCATTTATTTATCTATATCCAGACATTGTCATTCGTTTTGACACTTCAGTTTTGTATTACGAGTTTTTGGTTTAAATAAAAGGTTTGTGATACTTTAAGCTTGAAAATGTTTACTACCAGACTTTTAAGTCCAATATTGTTCTGTTTAGAACCTCTTTTAGTGCGAAGTGTACAAGATAGCTTAATAGCCGTAGAAAACTCATCGCAACTTTATTAGATTTTTTTTGAACGGGGAAGCGATAGTAATGGCCCTTTATATCCCTTAAGTGCTGTTAAGAAGGTGAGTTTTGTTGATGTAAATAATAACTTTTTATATATTTATAATTAATTTATTTTTGTTTCCTAAAATATTTTGATTAAAAGAAAATATATAAAAGTGGACAACGCTGGGCTAGTCAAGCTTAATCACGTGACTAAAAGTTTATTTGGTATGAACTATATATAGGAAATCAATAACTTCTTTCAGTGAGTTTTTATGCGAATGTCCAAGAATATATTGTAAAAGTGTCGTAGATTTGCTTACTTATGTTATAGATGAGATGGCAATCGCAGGTTTACGACCAGGAATTAAACAAAATTTTATTTAAAAAATTGTCGACGTTTTGACATGTATTTTCGTCTTTATCAAGGTTATCTTTGGGGAATCTTTGGTATCTTTGATAAAAATGAAAATACACGTCGAAACGTCGGATTTTTTTTTAAATAAAAGGTTGTTCAATTTCTATTCCTAAACCTGCGAATACTATTTTCTATTGTAAAAGGCGGAAACGGACAACATCTATGTCTAGTAGCTTAAGCAAGCAGAGTCCTTCTAAGTGAACGAGACTCCAAGCTAGGCACTGAAAGCTAGGTGCAGGGCTCGTTCTATGTATATTATTATTTTCCGAGACAAAAACCGTAGTGCTGAATTTTGAACTTATTTTTTTTATCTACATAGCGAAAATAAGAAGATGGTGCAGATAAGTATGCACAATCAACTTGTAAACTAATAATAATCAACTTGTGATCGTATAATACTCTTATAAAGATGTAGTAAGGAGGTGGAATTTGCAAACCATTTGATACCTTTGAGTATATAGATGTTGAGGCCACCGAATAAGGTTTGTAAAAATAGTCTGTAATTAAAAATTAGATCTAAATATTTGAATATAGAGCATGAAAGTCAAACTATGTCATATAAAAATAAAAAAAATATGTCATCCACATATAGTTTATATGAAATACCGGGGCAGGCAGTATAGATTTGACTATATTATTAATAGCAGTGTTATAAAGGGCGTGACTTAGAACAGATTCCTGTCAAAAACTATTATTAAAGACAAAATAGTTCCAGAAGAAATTTCCTGGGTCCGCTTTATAATTCTCATTCTTCCATGGAACAGAATGTTAATTAAGACGTATAGAATATAACAAGAACAGATATGTATCAAGCCGACTTAATGGCAGATATAAAGCGATCTACATTGCCATCTCCATCTAAAGGAATTAAATTTGTCAGAATAAAATACTTTTTGTAACGATCCCAGTTGCATGGTTTCGGAAATGGTATCGGAAGTTGTAAGTCTGAAGAGAGAATGTCCCTCCTATGAAGATCATACAATACCTCTCACTGTAAACAAGAAAAATTAGTGGGAGAAGAGAAAGATAAGAAATCAATAATAGACAATGTAAGTAAAACAGATATGAGAATGATTGTTGTTATTGAGAAGAAGTAGATAATTGATATTTATGAAGTAAAGGGAGTGCCACTTCTGTTTTCTAAAGCAGAACCTCATGATTGATAATGGAAGTTAAAGTTACCTAGTATGATATAAGAGAAGGTAGTTGATTTAAAATAATGATTTAGTGACGCAGGAGATAAATTAGTATGCGAGAAAAGCTGTTATTGAAATTGCACCATACCTGAGTCAATATCGAGAAGGTGTAAATCGCGAGACATCGTAATCGCAAGCTCTTTACAAAAGCTCTTGCTGCATAAATTATATTAGATTTGGAAATACCGAAGTTACTAAAAGAAGGTGAATGTTAGCGTTTCAAATTAGTTTCATCAAGAAGGATGACAGAGAGTTCCATTCAGAAATAATACGTTCTTGTTCGTCGATTTTTGAAGTTAAACTTCTTTACGCGCGATGGGAGTAAAAATTTAAGGCCGTGATACGCCGCGGCCTTGGCACTTCATAGTGAGAAAAACAAGTAGTAAGGATCGCACGATGGCGCAAACACCAAAAAAAACATTTGATTTACGCTAAGAAAATAATTTTGTTGTATACGCCATCTATTGGAGCAATGGTAAATTAACATAACCCATGTATTTACGGTTGGTAGCACTAAGAATAGGTTAGTAAGTTTGTTTTTATAAGGTTCCTAGTAACATAAAATAGAGTAATAAGAATATGGCGGCAGGATGTTCAGTTTGTTCGTTTTAGTTTTTGTTCTTGTAATTGTTAACAGAAATAAAACGCGTTAAGAGTAAAAAGACCTGGTTTAATTAAAAAGTAAATTCACGGACCTCAAAACAAAAGGTTATGTGCCCAGATCACAGCCCAGACACAGAATAGAAAACCAAGGTCTCGCGGTAAAAACGGCAAGGACAAAACGACAAAGACAAGTAAAATTTCGGGAAAGTGTATCGGAGCGTTAAGAGTAAAAACATTAAAAGTAAAAACAGTAAAACCGAAAAAATGTCTGAAAATAATGCTGCATTAAAACTAAATGGGGATAACTGGCCAGTCTGGAAATTTCAAACAAGCATCGTACTAAAAGGTCGTAGTTTATTTGAAGTAGTGGATGGATCCAAAGTAAAACCAAGCACAGGAGTTGAAGAAATAAATAAGTGGATGAAAGAAGATGCAAAGGCCCAAGAATTACTGGTAACAAGAATGGAAGAAGGACCATTACCGCATGTACTGTCTTGTGAATCGTCCAGAGAAATGTGGAGTAAACTAAAAACAGTATATGACAAGGAATCAGTGGTGAGTGTACACCTTTTACAAGAACCTTTCTTCTCACTGCAGTTTGATTCAAGTGTTAGTACCTTTTTATCTAAAATAGAAGAAATAAAAATGAAATTAAAATCCGCTGGCGAAATTCTATCAGAGAAAATGGTAATAACCAAGATCTTAATGTCTCTCCCAGAGCAATTTAAGCATTTTAGATCAGCGTGGGAATCTGTTTCAGTAGATAACCAAAGTCTCGAGGAGTTAACTTCAATATTACTTCTAGAAGAAAGATGCAAGTCTTTGGAAAATGCAACTGCATTGGCAACTAAAACCAGTGAAAAACCTCAAGGAAAGAAATGTTATATATGTTCAAAGGTAGGCCATATTGCTAGAGATTGTTATTTCAGGCAAGATGCCAAAGAATGAAAAGAAAGTGTGCAGTTTCTGTAGAAAAAATGGTCATTTAGTCGAAACATGTTGGGTCAGAAAAAATAAAGAAGGAAATCAAGAAAACAAAGGCATGTCAAGTAAAAAGAAAGAAGAACTAGAAGTAAATGCTTTTATGGTCAACTCTAAAACTAATACCAAGTCACATGAATGGTTTTTGGATTCGGGTGCAAGCGAGCACATGTCATGGAACAAGGAATTATTTCAGGAAATGTACAAAGTAAAAATCCCTAGAATGGTGCAAGTAGGAAATGGTCAAAAGCTAGAGGTAAGAGGTTATGGCAAAATTAAGTTGTGGGCATATAATGGCACAAGTCTTATTGAAACTTGCCTTTCTAATGTATTATATATACCTGATTTAAAGTTCAATCTCTTTTCTGCTGGTTGTGCACTTGATAATGGATATTTCTTGTCCTCTGATAATGAAAAATGCACTTTTTATGACAAAAATGGAAAGATAAGAGCTCAAGCTATAAGACAGAATAAGTTGTATACAATGTGTTTTTCTCAAGAAAAGTCTTATGTCAAATGCTTACAAGATCAACAACTAACGTAAACTCTGACTGTATGAAAGTTAAAACCATAGATTCTTTAAAAGAATGGCACTGTAAATTAGCACACCAAAATGTTAACTATATAAAACACTTTTTAAGGAACAATAGCATAGAATTTGTGGATGAAAAGTTCGTATGTGAACAATGTTTAACTGGAAAACAGCATAGACATCCCTTCCATGAAAGTGAGTCAAGAGCTACAGTACCATTGGAGCTAGTACACACAGATGTATGTGGACCTATGGAGCAAGAATCTTTAGGAGGATCTCGATACTTTCTCCTATTAAAAGATGACTATACTAACTACAGGTATGTCTATTTTCTAAAGAATAAATCAGAAGTAAAGAAAAAGTTGGAAAATTTCATAACGTTAGCTGAAAGAGAAACAGGTTACAAAGTGAAGGCTCTAAGATCAGATAACGGTCTTGAATTTTTGAACAAAGAGATAAAAGAACTGTTAGAAAACAGAGGAATAAGGCATCAAAGATCGGTTGTATATACGCCACAACAAAACGGAAGAGCAGAAGGAGAAAATCGAACCTTAGTTGAGGCAGCTCGAACAATGTTGCAAGGTCAAAAGTTACACAAGAATTTGTGGGCAGAAGCTCTCAACACAGCTACTTTCATATTAAATAGAACAGGAGTAAGCTCAGAGCAAAATAAAACACCATATGAGTCATGGTACAAAAGAAAGATAGACCCTAATATTTTTAAGAGGTTTGGAGTAAAGGTCTCGGTACATATTCCAAAGGAGAAAAGACTAAAGTGGGATGCAAAGAATATGTTTGGTATATTTTTGGGATATAGTCAAGATGTAAAAGGATACAGAATATACTTACCTGAAAAGAACACAGTAGAAATTCTTCGTGACCTAATATTTCTACCAGAAAAAGACATAGAACCTGAACGTGACATAGAAGAAAATAAAGAAACAGTAAAACAAGAAAATCAAGAGCTAACTGCAGAATTAAATACTCAAAATGAAGCTGAGTCTAGTAGTGACAGTGAGTTGGACATTGAAGAGGAAGAAAGACACTTAGAAGAGAACTTAGATAGTGACGGTAGTGAAAATGAAGACCAAGAAGACAATAGAAGATACAACTTAAGAAGAAGCATAAATCTACCGTCAAGATTCAATGACTTTGACATGGACAACGAAGATATAGGTTTGTTGGCCTGTATCGACACCGATGAACCCCTAACAGATGAAGACGCTATGGCAAGCAGTGAACAAGCAGTTACAAAATTACCATCAATAAGAGTTTTCTTAGCTTTGTGACGACTTTTCTGTCGTTACCCAAATAGAATGAAAAAAGAATCCGTTGCTCAGGGTTAGAGGAAAGCTGGGTTCGTAGGTAAGGCTTCTGACTCACAGTGACTTTCTAATGTTGTTAAATATTAAAATAAAAAATGATAATATATAGGCTGCAGAGATTTTAATATCGATGTTAAGAATTCAAATAGGTATGGTCAAAGACAGTGAAAAGGGCGCCACTTACTTTGTTTATGAGAGTGGTAAAGTAAGAAACCAAAAGAAAAAATATGATATCACAACATAGCTAATATAAAGTAATCAACAGCATTAAGGGTCTATTATGTTTATCAGGAATAAAAGTCAGAAATAACTATCCTACATTAAACATTTATTGAAAACGAACACAAGTATCAACAATTAGTCACAGTGATCCCAATAAAACCGCAAGTTATTTTAAATAGATTCGAATTTTTGAACTAAGTAAGCTACTTAATATAAAAACAGGTGAAATTTATGTATGTCTCAATACGATGATGTTTCGAAACATGTCGTGTACAAAAACCTTTAAAATGAATATGTGTTAATAATTTTCATATAAAATATCATAGCTAAGCAAGAGTATACTGTACGAATCAAATTATAACTTATAACGTTAAATAAAAATAATTTTGACTACAATATGTGGGATAAATAGTGATAATTTACCAGGTTATTAAATCTGTTGTCTCAAAAATTATAAAATAAAAGCGTACCTTGTGTATCAAACTTAAGACTTATCTGTATATAGTTTCTTATGATGTAAATAGGTAGTTAGGTATTCTCCAGACTAACAGAAGTGGATGCAGATGACTATGGCAGGAGAAGTCTTCGATATTAGCCAAAGGGACGATTGTAATGTCAGGAACATTGTCTTAAGGTCTGCATAGGTCCATACAAAATGAAATGGGTGAAACATACAATAATTACTGCATTATTACTGCATACCATGTGGTAATTACTGAGTACCAGGTGGTAGTTACTGAGTACCATGTGGTAATTTTACTTAATATCATGTGGTACTTTTACTCTATAAATAAAAAATAGTTCTCAGGACAGATACTCAATAAAAGAAACAACTTACGGTCTGAAAATCAGCTTTACATAAATATATTCAAACCATATGCCGATCCAAACCAGTAATTAAATACTCAAATAAACGAAGTAAAAAACGGAAATAACTGAAATAAAATTTAGTTAGATAGGGCTATATAAAATGGCGGATAAACTTACGGTGATCATTCCAAGAAGAAACCAAACAAATACGATCTATACTCTGAATTGCATACTTTACAAGGTTTTCAAATCTCCAAATCGGATACCCATGCAATCGAAATCGAAAAGTGGATTCAGAGTGCTTTTCACTGGAAAATTTGTCGGACGCCGAAACGCGTCTTCTTCAGATCCAAATTCCCAGAAAAAAGACCTTCTTCTAAGTTTCAGAAACGAAAACAAAAAAACCCTATTCACCACAGACAAAATTAGAGAAAAAAGTGATATCATATGATCGAAATCATTAGAACAGAAAATCGCAATCCACAGCGACGTGAGATTGGGACAAGTGAAATACAATTAAGGAAGTTTGGCATATAGCGAATAGATGGCGCTAATAAACAAGACAAGTAAACTGTAAGAAATGAAGTTTGACATCTAGCGAATAGATGCGCTAATAAAAATTAAATATCGAAACAAGTGACCTGTAACAAATGGAGTTTGGTATCTTTGGCATCTAGCAAATAGATGGCGCCAATACTAAGAAATTTAAATAAAAATAGATTTTTAAATTCAATTTTATTAAAGGAAATAAAAAATGCTACACTGCCCCCCTCCAAAAAAAAAGAAAGCCCTCAAAGAGGACTTTCGCCCAAACAACACTAAGGAAAACTAAATTAAATTTGTACATGTTTTTAGATTTTTGAAATTAAGTTTGGTGGATGATAGCTTCGTGTATCACACGTCCATAAAGGAGTCACAATTGGTAAGTCGCAATCGGTATGTCAAATCAGGGGAGGTTACACAATCGGGAAAGTCAAAATCACCACATAATCCAAAAAAACAAAATCATATACAAAATATATGATAAACTAAAACTAAATTTAAAACTAAAAAGGTATGGGATAGGAAAAGAAAAAAGAATCCCATGGAAGCGCAGATGTTTCTAAAGAAATTCCCCCGCTGATCGCCTGTACTCAACCCACCTAGTATGAGGCAACGAAATGATTCACAAATCGCGTGTAATCATTCATGCGACCCCTCACACCCAAGGAAGCAGAGAACAAACAAACAACAAAAGAACCTCAACAAAAACCATGCTACGGATCACTATAAGAGGTTAGTTTGGCGTGATCAAGACAAACTACCTTCGCCACAACCTGTGTGCTCACCGGTTAACCATTCAAGGTAACTCACCTGTATGAGAAAAAGAAGGAAAATTACAATAGAAAACACAATAGAAAGACACAAAGAAAGAGAAAAAAAAGATTGTCACTAATGACCCAAAATATCCGTAACATAGGATTCCAGCCTATGAAACGCTATTGCAAATATGGAAAGAAGATCACAATAATATCCAAAACACAGTAAAACTTACAAAGTCATGAGGTTAGCTACGTCTCACTTCTAGGTTGCAATCAAAATTATAACAACTTTTCGTTTTTTCACGAAGTTGTGTTCTCAGAATACACAAAATACAAGAATCTCTTACATTTCAGATTCTTGTGAACTGAATAACAAAGAATAGAGCAAATGACATAAAACTATATGAGTGATTAACAGAATTACCATCCCACAAAATATTTACTCAAAATTAGATAATCTGTAGAATACTCGAAGAAAAAAATAGTGTCATATGCTCGCATTTCCAAATAGAAATACTATAACATATCAAAAATATAGGTACGCAAAAAAACTAAATGACAATATAGTTATACTGATTCGCGACAAATCCGTAAAAAAAACGAGAAGCAAATGTTGTATAACTGTTTAATCTGAACTAAAAAGAAACTAAAATATAATCTATGTATCCGTTAGACTAAACCCTAAAAAGGAATCGGACATAATAGATTATTTGAATTACTAATGACGTAGTCGAGACATTTTCTGTATCATCGTCGTCAATCGTGTGACCTTGGTATGGTTTAAGATCTTTTATATGCCAGCGGCCTGCGTTAGTACCATTCTCGTCTACTAAAACATAAACTAAATTCGAGATTTTCTTTCGCACTGAAGATAAAATAAAACGAGGAGCTAACTTGGCTGAAAAGTTAATACCAGCATTTGATAAGACCTTATTACGTCTCCAAACCAAATCACCAACCTGAAAAGATAAATCACGCCTACGCAAATTATAAGACTTCGAGTTTCTTTCATAAGCAGCATGAAGTTTCTTACGGACTTCGCCAAAGACACTATAAAGATTTTGAGTTCAGAAGCGTAAGAGTTGCGATCGCCAGGCATAATTTCAAAATCTTCAGAAAATTTAACTTGACCATAATACTTACCAGAGATGGGAATATGTCTACCAAAAACTAAAAATGAAGGAGAAAAACCTGTGACCTCATGTTTAGAAGTATTTAAAGCAAACTGAATATTAGAGAGCTGAACATCCCAATCTGTATGCTGTTGAACATAAGTTCTAATAGCTGTTCCTACAGTTTTATTCATTCGCTCAACAAAGTTACATTGAGGAGAATACACAGCATTATACCAGATCTTCTGAACTTGGTATTTCTTAGCTAAATCTCTAAATTCTTTCGCAACAAATTGAGGACCATTGTCACAAATTATATGTTGAGGTACTCCATAGGTAAGAAAAACTTCATTCTCAAGATACTTCACAATATAGGAGATTTTGATGAACGCAACGGACACAGAAGAACATACTTCGAAAACCAATCGCCAACAACTAAAAGCCACTTATGACCCTTTTTGATCTAGGAAAAGGACCCATAAGATCTAAAGCGATTGTCTGAAAAGGCATATTAACTTGCTTTTCTTTTCCCATCTTACCTAACGGCATAGTATTAGAAGATTTTGAGCTCCGCAAACACGACAGCTCCTAACAAATTTAAGAACATCGGCTCTCATCTTGGGCCAAAAAATTGTTCTTGAAGTCTTGATAAAGTCTTATAGAAACCCAAATGCGAACAAGTTGGCGGATTATGACATGATTCGATAATATTACGACGTTGAGGACGTGGAACAACCTTCTTCCATTCTTGAAGATTTGATGAAAATGGTAGCTGTACCGGAATAAACTTAAAAAGAAAACCATCTTCAACTTTCCACTGTGGAAATGAACCAGGTGAAGCTAAAATCTTTTGCTTCATAGTCTCATACCATGCGTCAGTATGGTCTAAATCTATATTCAAAACGGAAATTTGCGGACATACAAAAGAATCATTATCTGAAATATCTGAAGGAGAAACTTTATGATTGGTAGTGGTGGATCTATAAAAATTCTTAACACATAATAACCACTTCTTCCAATCAGATTCTGAAAATAAATTTCTGGGTTTGAATTTTTGAACTACATGACCAGAAACACGAGTTCGTCCGATTAGTTTTTTGAACATTTTGGACACGCCGGTGATTTAACCCCTAAATTACCACATTTAAAACAAAAAACCCTACGTTTCTGTCGACAATCATGAAACGTATGATTCGGACCAGAACAATTCCAACAAACTAAACGCGAAGCTGTTTCCTTACCTGAATTTTCTACAGATCGGGGCATACTCGAAGTATTTACCATATCAGGGTCAGAAGACGACGACGCTACAGCAGAACAAGGAGACCTAGCAGTAGTATTTTTAATTTTGTTCTGAGCATTTACATTCTTAGATTTTTTACTAAACTGTACGCGACGAGAATCAAACGAGCTAGAATCAGGAGTGGTATTTAATTCAGAAACATTTAAATTTCTAGAATGTTTTTCATTCTGATGTTTAGCATTTTCTAATTTTCTACACAAATTAGAGAGTTCAGACACAGATAAAACATCAACTAAAGCTAACTGAGTAATGTATTCAGGAAGTAAATTTTGTCTAATAATTTTAATCTTATTAACCTCACTAGGGCATTTACTTAATCTACTAAAAAGATTCTCTAAAGTTGCTATAAAAATTAAAATACTTTCATTTTTCGTTGTTTATAAGATTTAATTTGCGACCAAATATTGTCATCATTATCTGGTGGCAAAAAGTCTTTCTTTAATCTTGCTACAAGAGATTTCCAATCTGTAACATGTTGTTTAATACTTCTGTACAAATAAAAGCATTCCCGGTAAAAAGTTCTACTGCGGAAGAAAATAAATCTTGTTCACTAACTTTACGTGATTCAGAAAGCTCAGTAACAGTTTCTAAAAATGAAAATAAATCTTGAGGATTACCATTAAATTTAATAGGCCAGTCTGAGACTGGACAAGGTTTAGCAACATAAGTCACAATAGGAGGCGGTACATTAATAACCGGTCCTGAAGGGACAGAACTAACATTTAAAATATCATGTGTCAGAAATTTTTGAAAATAAGTCAGCTTCAAGTTGATAACAACTAGTATAAACATCAGTTTGAATAGTCTCTGCATCAGCACGATTTTCATCTAAAATTACTCTTCTAATTCTACCAGCCAAATATACAAGACGAGATTTTATAACTTTAAACATTGAATCATTTACTCCACCCTCGAATTCAGAAATTGACAAAGAAATTGAATCTAAAGTTGCTTTAATTTCGAAAATTTCTTGATCAAAAGAAAGAGGATAATTTTCCATATTAACTAAACAAAAGGGTTATTAATTTCTCTACTTAAAAGACCTGACAAAATTTTACGTTTACTCTCAACATTTTTAGATGTCTTAATACCCCTTATAAGAAGTTCATAATCTAATTCTACTTGTCGTAAATGATTAACTTTAAAAGATTCTTTCTCCATTGTAATTCAGTTATATAAGATATTAAAGACTAAATGATTCAGAAAAATTTACTAATTTTAACAAAAAGCTGTTATGACTCGACGCAATCTATCAGAAAGAAATTATGTTCAATGTCAAAACCAAAAAAGACTCAAACATTCAAAACAAATTCCAAAATTTTACGAAGTACTAACAACGCTACCCTGTATACTAAAATTATGTCCACTCTGTATATTCAAAATATAACCTTACCTGTATATTTATATCAAGATCAAAATTTCAATAAACTATGTAGTCAGAAGTATCAAGTTATTTATCTCTGAGTTTTAAACCGATAAACAAACACCCTCTATAACATAAAAAACAAAAATTGCTGTTGTACTGAAATATAAAAATTAAATTACAGAAATAATGAAAATAAAATTTCAAAACTATAGTCTTTGCCTTATAGAAAATTTATCTGAGCCTAACAAAAATTATTTTACAAAGTCTACCAAATAAATGAAGCAAATTAAATTAAATTGAGCCAATTAAACTAAGTCGAGCCAATTAAACCAAGTAAAGCCCCACGTGACAGGGCGTCATATACTTTATTCTTCTATGTGTGACGACTTTTCTGTCGTTACCCAAATAGAATGAAAAAAGAATCCGTTGCTCAGGGTTAGAGGAAAGCTGGGTTCGTAGGTAAGGCTTCTGACTCACAGTGACTTTCTAATGTTGTTAAATATTAAAATAAAAAATGATAATATATAGGCTGCAGAGATTTTAATATCGATGTTAAGCATTCAAATAGGTATGGTCAAAGACAGTGAAAAGGGCGCCACTTACTTTGTTTATGAGAGTGGTAAAGTAAGAAACCAAAAAGAAAAATATGATATCACAACATAGCTAATATAAAGTAATCAACAGCATTAAGGGTCTATTATGTTTATCAGGAATAAAAGTCAGAAATAACTATCCTACATTAAACATTTATTGAAAACGAACACAAGTATCAACAATTAGTCACAGTGATCCCAATAAAACCGCAAGTTATTTTAAATAGATTCGAATTTTGAACTAAGTAAGCTACTTAATATAAAAACAGGTGAAATTTATGTATGTCTCAATACGATGATGTTTCGAAACATGTCGTGTACAAAAACCTTTAAAAATGAATATGTGTTAATAATTTTCATATAAAATATCATAGCTAAGCAAGAGTATACTGTACGAATCAAATTATAACTTATAACGTTAAATAAAAATAATTTTGACTACAATATGTGGGATAAATAGTGATAATTTACCAGGTTATTAAATCTGTTGTCTCAAAAAAATTATAAAATAAAAGCGTACCTTGTGTATCAAACTTAAGACTTATCTGTATATAGTTTCTTATGATGTAAATAGGTAGTTAGGCATTCTCCAGACTAACAGAAGTGGATGCAGATGACTATGGCAGGAGAAGTCTTCGATATTAGCCAAAGGGACGATTGTAATGTCAGGAACATTGTCTTAAGATCTGCATAGGTCCATACAAAATGAAATGGGTGAAACATACAATAATCACTGCATTATTACTGCATACCATGTGGTAATTACTGAGTACCAGGTGGTAGTTACTTAATATCATGTGGTACTTTTACTTAATATCATGTGGTACTTTTACTCTATAAATAAAAAAATAGTTCTCAGGACAGATACTCAATAAAAGAAACAACTTACGGTCTGAAAATCAGCTTTACATAAATATATTCAAACCATATGCCGATCCAAACCAGTAATTAAATACTCAAATAAACGAAGTAAAAAACGGAAATAACTGAAATAAAATTTAGTTAGATAGGGCTATATAAAATGGCGGATAAACTTACGGTGATCATTCCAAGAAGAAACCAAACAAATACGATCTATACTCTGAATTGCATACTTTACAAGGTTTTCAAATCTCCAAATCGGATACCCATGCAATCGAAATCGAAAAGTGGATTCAGAGTGCTTTTCACTGGAAAATTTGTCGGACGCCGAAACGCGTCTTCTTCAGATCCAAATTCCCAGAAAAAAGACCTTCTTCTAAGTTTCAGAAACGAAAACAAAAAAACCCTATTCACCACAGACAAAATTAGAGAAAAAAGTGATATCATATGATCGAAATCATTAGAACAGAAAATCGCAATCCACAGCGACGTGAGATTGGGACAAGTGAAATACAATTAAGGAAGTTTGGCATATAGCGAATAGATGGCGCTAATAAACAAGACAAGTAAACTGTAAGAAATGAAGTTTGACATCTAGCGAATAGATGCGCTAATAAAAATTAAATATCGAAACAAGTGACCTGTAACAAATGGAGTTTGGTATCTTTGGCATCTAGCAAATAGATGGCGCCAATACTAAGAAATTTAAATAAAAATAGATTTTTAAATTCAATTTTATTAAAGGAAATAAAAAATGCTACAGCTTTATGTAACAATTTCGATTTAAAAATACATCAATTAGATGTATGTAGTGCTTTTTTAAATGGGGATATTCAAGATGATGTCTATATAAAACTTCCAAAAGGGTTTAAAGAAATTGAGGGTACAGTTTGTAAGCTTAAAAAATCATTATACGGTTTAAAAACATCACCAAAGAACTGGAATGATAAATTTCATGAATTAATGCCAAAAATGTCATTTAAAAGATCTGAATATGAGTATTGCCTTTATATCAAAGCAAATGTTAAAAGTAAAATGTATATTTTAATTTATGTTGATGATTTGCATCAACATAAGGAGGGAAAATTATTATAAATCAGACAAACTATTTAAGAGGTGTTCTTGAAAAATTTGGAATGTTAATTTGTAAACCATCTAAGACACCTATGGATAACAATTTTCATCATGATTATTTAAAAAGAGTAAAATCTGAAAATTTAGAGATAGAAAAGAGATGTAGAATGGCTATTGGGTCGCTTATGTATGCAATGCTTTGCTCAAGACCTGATATATGTGTATCTATTAGTATACTAAGCAGATATCAAACTTGTGCAAGTTATGATCTTTGGCAAGAGATTAAAAGAGTGTTAAGGTACATTCAAGGAACTATTGATATGAGCTTGGTATATCAAAAGAATAATAATTGTGAATATTTAATTGTAGGATATTCAGATTCGGATTGGGCAGGTGTTTGTACTGACAGAAAGTCTACAACAGGATATGTTTTTAAAGTTTTCAATTGTACAGTATCGTGGGCTTGTCGGAAACAGTCATCTGTTAGTCTGTCTTCAACTGAAGCTGAATATATAGCCTTAAGCCAATCTGTTAGTGAGGCTTGTTGGCTTAGATATTTATTTTATGATTTAAACATATGTGAAAGCTATGTTACAGTGTTAGTTTTTGCTGACAATCAAAGTGCTATCAAAGTTTGTAAGAACCCTGCCTGAGTTCCATAAGAGACTGAAACACGTGGACATTAGATATCATTTTGTTAGGAATGAAATCAAAGATAATGTACTTGTGTTAAAATATATTCGCACTCATGATCAACAGGCGGATTTGTTTACAAAACCATTAGGTTTTACACAGTTTAACAAACTTAGAGAAAAGTTAGGTTTAGATTGTGTAGAATAGTTTAAAAAATTAAGAAAAAATTTGTTGTGTATTTAAAGGAAAATATTGTTAGTCACATGTTTAGTAAATTTACCATTGAGGGGGGTGTTGTATACGCCATCTATTGGGGCAATGGTAAATTAACATAACCCATGTATTTACGGTTGGTAGCACTAAGAATAGGTTAGTAAGTTTGTTTTTATAAGGTTCCTAGTAACATAAAATAGAGTAATAAGAATATGGCGGCAGCATGTTCAGTTTGTTCGTTTTAGTTTTTGTTCTTGTAATTGTTAACAGAAATAAAACTCGTGAAGAGTAAAAAGACCTGGTTTAATTAAAAAGTAAATTCACGGACCTCAAAACATAAAATTTTAATAAACTAACTTGATACTGTACCTGGTATGTACCAATATTTTCTGCCTGTGTTCTAAGAAGTAAATTTTCAGGCATTTTTCATCGATAGGTTTGTAGCTTCTGAATAACGGTCTAGGTAAAGTATCTAGCTCATTTGCTAGCTCAGAATTAGAATTATTAGAGTTAAGCAATTTGCATTGTTCATTGGAGAACATTGTGTATTATCATATGTATTTCAAACCAATAATCAACGAGATTACAGTTGAGGGTTGGAACCTTTGGTGTTACACAGCAAAATAAAAACACTAAATCACCACAATACACCAAAACACTTTTACTTTTACACTGGACGCGCGTTTCGCTAACCATGTTAGCATCATCAGTAGATGATTATAAACTGATTCTAAACGAGAATATTCGTATAATTTAACAAAATTACTGTAAATCACTTTTAATAGTGAACAAAACATGTAAACAAATACAGACCACACAAATTGTTGCTTAGGTTCAAAATTTCTTCTCTTCGGAAATATCCGGCAATTTTCTTCTCATAAATTTTAAGGGGTGTAACATTATTAGGTATTTGCATGAAAGTGTGTATTTTGGGTAGTATTCCACAAAATTTTCAGGCTATTGAGGAAACAGAAAATGTACAGAAACAAATTGAACAGAATATTTATATTAAAACAGCATTATATGTCACTTTTTCAAACATGTCATTCAAATCCTTCAATTTAATAGCTGTTAGTAAGAAGTTTCACTCCAAATATGCGCACATAGTGTACATTGATTTTAGTAAATCTAAGTACGAAATTGAGAACGATAATTTACCTTAGATATATTATACCCTTGGGCGTAAACATTTGAGAGTTGCATATAATTTTGTTACAATCCTGGAAGATAACTAGAGATATTTCATTAAATTCACAATTAAACCTAAACATATTAAATACTTTCTAGAAAAAAAATAATAATGTATTTGAAATCAGTATAGGCCAGTAAGCGAGGGTTTTAGGGTCCGAATTCTGAACACCTGCACCGATAGACGCGAAATTTTAACAGTCAATAGAGATATAAGTACATATGTAACAAACAAAAGTTACATAGTAGCGATGTGTGCTTTCACCCTGGGGGTGAGTGCCACGGGGGTGAAAAATAAGTCACCCATTTTAATTGCAAAAATCAATAAAGGGATGAATTCTAAGCAAAAAATGTTCTATAACATTTTTTCAGAGAATTAATATTTTTCTAGTTATTAGGGATTGAAAATGATGATCTAAAAACTGCATATTTTCCCGCCATTTTTCATAAATAACTCGAAAATCTTGCGTTTTATCGCAAAAATCATATAACCAAAAATGAAGCTTTTGGAATAGCGAATCGATTCATTTGATTACCGTAGGTGTAATATTTTTTTTTTGATTACCGTAGGTGTAATAATAGCCCAGTTATTACTCTGTAAAGGTAATTTTGTATTTTTCGAAAACTAAATTGCAACATTTTACAGTAAAATAATGGCGAAAGAACACATTTTTAGAAAAAAAAATGAATATGACCGGTTTTAAAGTGCTTCACGACCTTCTGAATGTTTTTTTTTAAAGTTCGTAGCTCAAAAACCTGCGAAGTTATGATAAAAATAAAATGGTCACCTCGTTTTTTCGGAAAAAATTAACAACAAAATCTATGACTAAAATCATAAAAATAAAAACTAAGCGTAATACATGTACAGTTGGCTAAATTTAGGTGCTAACAATGGGCTCTGCAACTTCGAGTGGTTTAGAATGCCTAAATTTGGAAAAAAGGTTGTGATATAATGAATGTGTGATAATGAAAAATTTTTATTTTTTATTTTTTTTGACATATCTCAAAAACTAAGCAAGATACCTAAAAAATGCAAGAGACTAAAATTGAAATTCTTCATTTTGCAATATTTTTGCTCTCTTTCAATTTTTCTGTAAATTTATTTCGTAGATATACGTTACGTTTTTTTAGTTTAACTTGGCTCAAAGAAGGTGGTCCTTCTTTGAGCCCTTAAAACCCAAGAATCTCGTAAAAATGAAGAGTTCAAGACTGTTCAACTATAGAGGTTAATTTATAGCTCGTGTAATTTCCTACAAATTGATAGTTTTTATTTTTATGATTTGATTTTTTTGTAATTTTTTTTGAAAAAAATGTGGTGACCATTTTATTTTTATCTTAACTCCGAGAGTTCTTCGAGCTACGAACTTGAAAAGACATTTTAAAAAGCATTTAAAAGGTCTCTTACTTTTACAGAGATAACATACAGTAATCATACACCTACAGTAATCAACAAAAAACGATCTATATGAGTTTTGCGATAAAACGCAAGATTTTCGAGTTATTTATAAAAAATGGCAGAAAAATATGCAGTTTTTTATGAAAAATCAACATTTTTAATCCTAAATAACTAGGAAAATATTCATTTTCTGAAAAAATGTTATAGAAATTTTTTTACTTAGAATTCATCCCTTTATTGATTTTTAATAATAAATTAAAATGGGTGATTTATTTTTCATCCCCGAGAAGGTACTCACCCCCATGGTGAAAGCACACATCGCTACTATATAAGTTTTGTATCTTACATATATCTCTACTCACTGTTAAAATTTCATGTCAATCGGTGCGTGTGTCAAGAATTCGGAAGTAATACCCTATTTTTATCCTCGCTTACTGGCCTACAGGGTTAAAATTAAAAAAAAAAAGAATTTGATTGTTCAAAAATTGTGTATAAACTTCTTTTCCTAACACCATATATATAAATATTTGCGGCTGCTTTTAGAGTTAGATAAACTTTAAGGCCTCTCT